GTACGTTAAACGATGTATGCCAAAACGGAAGCAGCCAGGGCCAGCGCTAAACAAGAATTGCTTAAATGATAAATAAACAGTACCAGTCTTAGCGCAGAGCATTCAGCAAATATACATTCATGCATGACTTCCAATTAGCCTTACAACAGCAGTGCAGCACTATAAGCAAGTATAACACAGTTCGTTACCTGCCAGCCTAGTGCAGTCTAATGAGAAACGTTTCAGTTAGCATCGAGAAAGCAACCGAAAAGCAGTGCATAAAAAACCAGTACCTAGCATCAAACCCATCGGAATGATGCAGCTCGTGAGATCGTACACTTCGGCGCTAAAACCGGACGACAAAAGAAACGCATCGATAGCCGCCTGCTTCGACGCATCCAACAGATTGTTTTGAATGGTCCTAGAGACGGAGCGTGACGCGTCTTTGATCTGCAACGTAAGGCAGAGGTTACAATGAGACAAGCATGAACGAAAAGTGACTGTGTACATATTGCTGCAGAACATCATCTAAAATTGAACACAGCTTATGTGGCATACTTGCAGAGTCTTCTTTAGGCTTACTGACTCGATAGCGTAGATCAAAGAAATAAAAGTAAACCAAAACTTTAAACCGGTCTTTAATACACATTCATGATGGAACCGTTTCTGGCAACCTTCTTTTCATGAAGCTAACGAAAGGGCGCTGATTTTCATTTCCATGCCATTAACCACGAGTGCCTTATTCTAAAGGCAGAATCGATAACAACTACGTGGCAAACATACTGTGAAATCTCTTGTTTCCTTCCCACAGAAAGGTACTCACTAATCAAGCTCGGAAGATAACAAAGCGGTGACCTTGACTATAACCCGGTCGGGCAACTGCCGGTTGTGAATCTGACGTTCTTGCGACTGATCAACCTTAGTCACTTTAAATGACAGCTGGAGGGAGAGGAGAGGGCATAAATTTTGGAAGTAATCTAATTCACTGAAATATAAAACGTGTTTTAAACTGATAACAAATATGAAAACTATATCACTTGGTAATATTTTATGAACTACTAATATGTATCGCGCCTTGGAATCCGCACTGAAGTTTACCTGATTGGCGATGACCAGGATCACTGGTAAAACCTTCTGAAGTTCAGGTACTTCCTTCAGGTACCCGCAATATTATACGACACAAACAAATTAGAAGGTTAACCATGCCTGGTGAAAAAAAATCGCAGTGAATGAGAATCAGCAACATAACCACAGACAGAACAATGCTCGAATTCTTGAGGTAAAAAATATGAAAAATTACAAGTTTACCGAGCTTCGTGTATAAGAGAGTTTAGCATAACAAAGGTCACCCTGCGTTCAGAAAAATAATGCCATTAATGATCAAATTTGGAACCAACATTTCGTCAGCTGTTTAAAGGGCCAAACAACTATTCCCTCCATTTTTTATCATGCCTCGGCCGTTTGACAGAACCGAACTCATATGACCGACCACTAATATCCCCAATGACGCTGCGCGCCCGTTGCACTCTCACTTCAAGACTGACAGATTTGCCTTAAACGTACAAAGCGGTCAGTCAACTTCCGATTACCACTGCCTCTGCAGCCAATCTCTACATGGTTTACTACAGACGCGCATTTCTAAGAAAAATACTGCCGACCTACTTCGCCTATGCCAACGATCCTTTCATCTAGTAGTGGCCAGAGACCGTAACGCTGGGGCTGAGTTGATAAAGAGCGACGAATTTAACAGCTAATAAAGCAAACTTACTACTGTGAATTGATTCGAACCCAAAACTTCTGGGTATACACTGACAATTAATTACTGTATCACTTTCAATCATCTTTTCAATTCATAAAGCGGCTTTAAAATATGAAAACGAACCTATCAACTGCCTTGTATTGAATTCGTTCAGGAAGTTGATCTTCAGTTCTTTTGATGCTCCATAATTAAAAGTCTCTGACATAGACGGTCAAGTTTATTTTGGTAAACTGACGAACACCTACTAGACTCAGTAATGCCCATTCCGGCAGGTCAAACATGCAGAAACCATGCCTAACCCCTGTCACTATTTGGACAATTACCTTGGACTTGCCCTCCAACGCTCCAGTACCGGCATAGATTTTGCTGCAGCCATCACCATTCGCCGTCCACATCTCTTTAAACACTTCTTCGAACCGACAAACGATGTTTGCCTTGTCGGCCAATTCAGCCTCTTTCAGCTGTTCACTAAGAATGTGCAGTCCAAAAAATGTTTGCACCGCATTACTTCGATCCAAGCAGTCGAGGCAGTTCACGCGCAGTACTCCGCGCTGATGCCTAAACGTGAAAATGCGGGTGTTTTATGAACCAACAGCACCAGAAGAACAGAGAAATATGTGCAATGACATTATACACAGCTGTTTTCAAACCGTAAGGAGACATGAAGGAAAAATAAAGACCGCGGACAGTAAATGATAATTAACATCATCAGTCGCACAGATTAACGTGAAAATCACTGCGCCATCGAATAGCGAGTAGCGGCTTACTTCAGGGCTGTCTTGTCCATGTTTCCCACGGGCCGTGATCTGCCTCAAGATTGTCAATGGCAGGAGCGAAGTCTATAATTCACTGCTAGAAAGAAACCCTGCGATTCTAACCTGGCCACACGGCCAAACAGAGTGGTTCTGTGACAACCGATTACGAAAGTGAGAAATGTAGCTGAGTTCAGTAGACCCGGAAAGTCAACGAACGCCCCGTAGACATACATAAAATAATTATTCGAAAAGATTTAATTAGCAGTTTTAAGCAGTTTACACAAGTTTAAAGACTGTATGAAAATTTATAGCACGAGAAGACTAAACTGAAATGGAAAGAAAGACTGTACAGACTAAAATGTCCGTCTCAGCTATGATGCTGTCAACCATAAATTCGTTATTGTCGAAGACAAAACCTACATTTATGTTTTGATTACGGCTTATAGTTCCCATTTCATCGGATGCATTTATTACTCAATAAAATGAAAGGAGAGTAATCCACCGAATGTGATTCCTAATCTTTTGACCGAGAGCTTAGTATTTTACCCTCGTTACAAGGGGTT